CGGAACTCATATTTTTCATGTGTCCCAGATGCTAGGCTTGGAGATACAGAGTTTAATGCTCTTCCTGTTCATTTTTAGTCTTGCTTGCTTGTCCAGTTCTTTCCTAGCTCCTTATTGCTCCCTTTCCAAATGGGAATGCTTAAACTGTGCCATTATGTACCTTGCTTTTGATTTTTTAAAGTAGAGATTATAGCTAAGAGTTTGCTTTGAGTCTCAGAAGACACTTGATATTTGGAAAATGCTGAAACTACTGAGACTTTGGGAAAGGGATTGTTGCATTTTCAGTTTTATGCAAGATAGTTGTACTATGTTAGCAGAATCATGAACTTGCTATTGTTGCTCTCTGGAGATTTAGGTTTACGATGTGTTTGGGTACAAAACCCCTTTGACAAGAGGTGAATTGCAATGATTAATCGTAACACATCAACTTCAGTGGATTAAAGAACACCTAGCAAATTAGTAGAGGCTGCTCTTGAGTGTGTCTCAGTGTCTCACAAAGGTGTGTCTTTGGGCACTGCTTACTCTCTGGCACTGTTCCCTTGAAATGCTTCCTGGATGCCATTGACAGTTTTACTCTGCCACACCTGAACACCACGAGGTTTCTACCTTGGAGCCTGCTGAGCACATGCTGAATCTCCGACACTACGAGGTACACTATAACTTTATTTGTTCAGTTGTGGGTTTGGGATAGTGTATCTCAGTAACAGGGAATCTAACTAATAATATCAGGGCTCCTATGAACAAAGTTTTTATGAACATTCTTGTATAAATTATTTTATAACAGGTTTTTCTCACCCTTATGGGGCAACAGATTTGAGGAGCTGAGAAATAGGTCTGTAACTTTAAAGATTACCAGTTTTCCAAAGCATCACTTACTATTTTTACATTCCCTGTAGCAAGGTATGGAGGTTCTGGCTGCTCCAAATCTTGAAACACTTTTGTGAAGTGGCAGTGTCAAGATTATAAGACTCAGAAGTGATTTGAGAAGACTTCCGTGTTCTTTCTATACATGAAAAATGTTTCAGATGTCAAACAAATTACCTGTTCCTTCAAAGGCAATCTCCACGTGATATGTATCATTCAGAAACCACTAGGATTTACTTGGCTGATCTAGTTTACTAGGTGAGTGGGTTCCCTTTTGCCTTCAGTATTCCAAGTACATCTCTTCAGAATGATTATAGTTTCTTCTGGGTGATAGCAATGTAAAGGTTTATGCTCTCTCAATAATCTCCAGAGTTCTTGGCATTTATGGAATGTAGCAATAGAGTCCAGATTTCATTAAAAATTATATGTGGAATTTTAACAGTAAGTTTGAACCATTTTTTAAAAGTGCTTGTATATGGAAAGAAAATCAGCAAGAAAGTATAGAGTTGTTGAAATGTCAAGTTAAATGGCCATGAAGGAGGTGAGAACCAAGAATCAAGAGAGAAGAAATACTTGATTATTCTCCCTCCCCTTTAACTAACTAAAGTGTAAACTGAACCAAGGCAGGGATTTCACCCATTTTGATTGACACAGTCACACCAGAAGCTAGGACAGAGCCTGCAGCTTAGGAGGTGCTCAGATCAGTGAAGACCTACAAAGCACGGCAAGGGAAGTCTATCAATCACCAATAGGGCAGAAGGTAAATTTGGAAAGTGACAAATAAGTGTGTGGTCTTGACTGTGATGCTGATCTTACAGTCTCTCACCTCCAATCTCATCAACTTGTATATATTAAATATGTGTGGCATTTTATATGTCACTTATACGTCAATAAACTGGTCCAAGAAAAGAACTACAAAATTGAAATAAAAAACCCATACACGTGAAGCTGTTATCTTGCTCAGAGTTCTGCAGTGCAGTTATGTTGAGCACCAGATCCTATCCATGTGCTGTAGAGGGACACTTAAAGTCTTTCAAGACTTACCCTAACCTATATACATACACTTCTCACTCACACGTAATTATGAGTATTGTACAAATAACCCTGCATGTTTTTGTAACCCTACAGGCTTGACTTATAATCTTCTATGTTCTCTTTCCTAGGAAAATCCTTCCAACCTACTGTGACTGTTGAAGTTCTATGGATCTTTCCAAATCTAAACCACCATTAACAACTCGGGGGAGGCCTAAGAATAGAAGATAGAAAGCAGTGAGGGACCTTGGCAAATAATGGGTGCTAAAATTCTGTCCTCAAACGTGGTGGTGGGATGGGTGCCATTTAAATTTTAAAATTAAGAAAGTAGGTTCAGAGTGAGAGTCATTGATCAAAATTACACATCATTGTTGAAAGAACTGGAATTGAGCCTGGGATGTCTCAATTATACAACTTGTATTCTTTTTCCTACACCACATAGCTTTCTAGGGCAGCCCTTTCCTTCCTTAACCAGGAAAATACTAATTCTTTGTATTACAATTATCTTTATCATCAGTACTCAAGGAGTTCCTTGACCAGGGAGTGCCTTGTTCATCTTTTCACCCAAGTGATTATCAAAGACAGAACTTACTATACTGGTTGAAAATGAGTAATTCTAGTGCTGATATTTTAAATTTAACTCTTCCCAAAGGTGAGGAGGACCAAAGACTGAAAGCAGCCTTATTCCCTCAGATCCCAAGGAAAGCACACGTGTGAAGCAGCTGCTCCAGCCAACCCGGATTTCCTTACAAAGACAGTGCCCTCAGCCCAAAGAAGGGAGCTATTGCTATCAGTCCTAAGTCGTTCAAGCACCACATGAGAGTGTGTGTGTGTGTGTGTGTGTGTGTGTGTGCATGCGTGCGCGTGCACAGGGGGCATTCATGGTAAATAGCTTTGGATAACATGAGCAAAGCATGTTTTTCAGCAGGCTTCAGAATAGTGAAAGGCTAACAATGAACCAAACTGTGTTTACATGAAGTTTCTGTACTGATGGTAGGAAATACAATGCCTTGGAAAAATAAAGCATGCTGAAAGGTCAGTAAGTACTGGGGATGTAGGTGAGGTAAACATTAAGGGAGAACTAAATGGGGTGCAAAGGGAAAGCAAAAGCAGGCCAATGGGGCTGAAGTGTGATAAGCAAGTGGGAGGGGACCAGGTAGGTAAAGAAATCAGAGCACCAAAGAGGTATTTTTTTTTCAGCAGACCTTGTTAGAGACCTTGTTAGAGACCTTGAATGTTGTGATGACAAGCCTGTGGTTCTCTGGCTAGTAGAGTAACACAATCTGTCTCCCACCTCTAAAAGTAAAAACTACTCCAGAGAACAGAACTTCATGGACAAAGGCCAGCTAAGGAGGCTCCTGAAACAGCCCAGGAAGAATGGCATAGGTGACGGTGACTGGCACAGTGGGAAGAGGTCCCATCTGAAACATAGAAGCCCATTTGCTACGGCTCAAGAAGTATGACACAGATCTTCAAGGGCAACACCACTATTTCCAGCTCAGCAGAAGGAATGTACAGTTTAGTGAGCACAGGAAATGCTGGAAGACAGTGTAAGTCTGAGATGTCAAGGGTTCCATCGTGAAGTATGCACAGATGAAATTATGTCATCTAAAATTAATCTAGAAACATGTGACTAGGAAAGATTGATCGCTGACAGTTGTGGAAAGCGGGTGATGTGTACAGGCAGGCTCATTATATTATTGTCTTATGCATGTTTTAATTGTCCTTTCATAAAACTTTTTAAAAGAGCAGTTAGAGACATACTAAATTTGAGAGTCCTGTTAGATTTTTCACATGGAGACATTAGTTAAGATATATGAACTTTGTAGCTCAGAGAAACTGGGGGTACAAAAATGTGGAGGCTGTCAATAGATTAAAAGCCATAAGACAGGAAAACATAGACTAAATGAATAAAAAGAGAGAGCAGGTCTAGCAGTGGGCAGCTAAACTGTCCAACACTTACAGATGAGGAAGATGAGAAGACTCAATAACATATTTTGGCCAGGATTTTTCAATGCCTCTCAAGTCACTGAAAAATACAAAACATCAAGTGAGCATTTCCACTTCTAGGAATGTATCCTGAGAAACTAATAGGGTTCATACACAAGATTTATCACTTTGCTTGACAGGAAAAAAAAAGGTGAAGGTTGCATGATAATGCCACCCAAGATTTGAATATTAGCAAAATACATTACAGTACATTCAATGGAGTACACAATGGCAATGTATTCTAGTGACCTACAAAAATTCTCATCACTAAGTGACAAGAGCTTATTAAAGCACTATACTTAGCTTTCTGATTCTTACTTTAAGTAGTTGTTTTGTACTTTCCTTACCCCTGATTACCTAAAATTTTAAAATTGTATCATCTTTGGTGGTAAAATGTTGGAATTTTCCCCTTAGTATATGTAATTATCTGTGTTTTAAATTTTTCTCCATAGAGAAAATGTCCCAGTAGCTCAGGTTGGTCATGAACCCACAATCCTCCTACCTTAATCTCCTAAGTACTGAGTTATAGGCATGTGCCAGTATGCCTGGTTCCAGTTTAAGTTTTTAATAAAGCTCATTCAGTAATGTGAAATACAAGGGACTTCTAAGAGGAACTTGATTAGAAACAGTTAAAAGTGTATTGACACAATAAAAAACTTACTGAAATAATTATAGATTATTTTAAAATAAAATATAAACAGAACATAAATTATTTTAACACTATATTAAATATTTTATTTAAATTAAGTATAATATAATCATACTTCCAAATAATTTACACACAGTAGTTTGGGTTTCAAATTCCATTAATTCAAGTGTTATGAACATGTATTTTTGAATAGAGTATATTAAAAATTGTTATATAAATTCAGACATAATATACACTATACACGTTGACTTTAAATAATGCCTTAAAAATGAATTTATTTACATTCCTCTTTTAAGTGCAGCATTTTAGACTTTAAGTAAAATGATGTGCTTACACAGGGTAAGCTTAACAAATCCTTGAAATATCTTTATTAGCTAAAAACTATTAAAAATTGTACTTGAAGGGCTGGGTCTTTAGCTCAGTGTTTCCACTACCTGCCTCGAAAGCTCAAGGTCCAGAATTTGATCCCCAGTCCAAAAAAAGAAAAAGAAAAAAATTGTCCTCAATTTCAAAAAATACTATTTAAAAGATCAATATTCTAAAGGGTCCCTAAGTTTTTTTTTATTAATATCTGAGTCAAAATTTGAAATTTCCATATGTATAGAAACTTATCTTCACTTCTGTCATCTTTATTATAAAAAGTCATAACGTATACCCTAGTGAGAGAATTTCTTTCCTGGTTTGGGCCTCTCCATTCCTTTTCTACGTTAAAAAAAAAAAAAAGTTTTGTTTTCCTATATCTAATAGCACTTAAGAATAGCATTTAAAAATAAAATAAATAAAACAAAAATAAAATAGTTTATCATTATCATCCATTGCAATTAGCCTGCAGGTTCTAAGGCTTGAAGAAAGCTAGCTTTAAATCAAATACTGACTTTCCTCCTCTAACTCACACTTGTTTAGTGAGTCAGTTACCCAACATTCTTGTAGGATTTTAAACTTTTTCTTAAGAGTTCTTCGAAAAGCTTTAAAATCTGCAACTCGACTCTGATCCTCCCCAATGATCACGTGAGACACACCTTCAGCTAAGTAAGAAACTACCTTTGCTCCATGAAATCGAAGTTCCAAAGCCACAATAGCTAATCTTGCTCCCTCAATTTTGGTACTTAAGTCATTAATAACAGTATACAAGTCCAAATAAACAGTATGGTGTCGAAACATACTAAGAGGAGAGCAGTCCCAGGAATAACGATATTCTAAATCTGTGATCACAGAGACTATTTCTTCAGGAGTCTGCTCATTAGAATTTTTAATACCCGAGAACACTTCTTTCAGTTGGTTCAAATCTGTGTCAACAAAATAACTGTCACCATAGCGATCATATTCACGGGAGAAATGTTGCTTTGTTGATGGACACATGTGAATCATAAAGCGAGGGTGCCATGGCAAGCAGGTCTTGGTCTTAAAACACTCCAGAAGCCACGCGGGCCGGACCACATCATGTTTATCTGAAGAGATAATGTTTTTCACTCTGATGTTCTCTGAGCCCGCAATTACACAGTACGTGTCAGGACCTGGGTTTTGTACTATATAACCACCCAACTCTGCAATTCTGTTCTCCAGGTCAAGTTTTGAAAGACTGGCTGTTCCACTCATGACACAGAATTCTACATCCTCAAATATATTTGAAACTTTGCTTATGTTAGAAAGGTTAGGTGCTTTTAGGTTTTCAAGAATTCCAATGACTTTCTTCATCTTTGGGGCAGCTTTCCGCTTTTTTTCTTTGGGTTCATCATCACTGCCCACATAAAGGTGTTTCGATGCAAGTTTCCCAGACGCCTTCCCCCTCAGCTGTTCTAACTCATCCAGAGTCATGCACTCATGCCACTCTTTGTCATCTCTTATTTTCTCGATTCTTGGAAAACGCAATGTGCAGCTAGTTTTATACATTTCACTGGGGACAATCTCTGCTGCCTTAATCTGGACAATGACAGAATTACGAGGTTCAATGTACACTTCTGGCTTCTCCGTTCCACACAAAATGCTACTTGGTGGAGCTTTTTTATGAAAAGGTTTCCAATGCTTGGCTAGTTTCAACCCTAGATCATACAGTTCTTTCATGGTGTATCCTGAGCCAACACGACAGAGGGTATGAAACACAGTTGGTTTCTCACCAGGAGGGGGCTTCTCTGCTACAGCACACAAAAAATGAGACATCATCCCACCCCGTGAACCTTTACCCCAATATCCTCCCACAATTAAGATGTCTAGTTCATCCATTAGTCCATTGACATACTCTGGTTTAATTTTTAGCCACCCCTCACCTCTTTTGTCTGGCTTATAAATGGACAGAGGATGTTTTATCATGATTCCCTCTTCTCTTTTATCAATTGCTTCATTCAATGCATCAATGACTTCTTTCTTGGTATGAGCTTGTGTTTTCTGTATTATTTCCATTCTACCTGATACTGGTGTAAAAATACTATTAAGAATCTCATACCTCTTTCTCAGGGTCTCACGTCCTAGCTTTTTATTATTAACCATTAATACATCAAAAACACAATAACAAGTCTGCAGGTCAGAATCTTCTACCATTCTTTTAATATCAAACTTATTCCCCTTTTGCATAAAAGTTTGCGTATTGGGGTTATAAGCCATCATCTCACCATCCAGGATACAGATCTGCACATCCGTTTTGAATGCATTATGAATGAAAGGGGTAAGAGAACCTTCACTGGGAGAAGCACCAAACTGTTCAGTGTAGTCATATCCATTTCGAGAAAAGTACTGATACACTTCTCCATGTTTGTGCATCTGCATGCGTTCACCATCAAGCTTGGTCTCAATGTAGAAACTCTGTTGTTTCATATCCTTCTCAATGTGCTCAATATCTGCAATGGCAGCAAGCATTGGTTTAAAGGCAGAAAACAACGTGATAGAAATATCACTGAGTCCCACACAGGGGTCATGGAGTTGCCTACAGACTTTTTCCAGGTCCGTGGTAACATTATGCAACTCAGAAGCATCGCTGTGGAAAACAGAAAATATAGTTTTCTCACTGAAACCAAGCTTTAAGTCCTTTACAATCATCCGTATAAGCCACTTCTGTTCAAGTGCTGAACTCTGAGTTATAAGTTGAAGAAGACTCTTTTTCACTAGGTCTTTTTTTCTGGCAGAATTATTGCTGGCAATTGAGTCCAGGAGTTCATTGACTTGCTGTATGTTTAAACTTCCTTTCTGTAAACATCTTGGCTTCAACACAAAGTATGCAATCATTGCAAAGTCCCCAGCATCTCCACGAGTTCCAGTAGGTGTTCTGTAATTGAGGAGTTTAAGAGCATCTTTTCCTTCTCTCGGTAAATTAAGCAATTCAATATAAAGCTTGGCAAGCATAGTTTCTTTGATTCCATAAGCCATTCTCTCTCTTTCTAGCTGAGGAAGAATAAGTCTCATTGCTGGATAAAAAGAGTCTGTAACATCTTTTTGGTTCTTATGAAGAGCACCATGAAATTTTCTCCAAGAATCTAAAAAGTCCTTGAAGTGTCTGATTTTTTCCTCACGTCCTTTACTTTTCTGTACTCGTTCTAAAGTTGAACATAAATCTGCAAAGGGAACATGAGATGCAACAGTTTGTGAAGTTTGTGAGGCAGCCATAGAAGCAACAGTGAATCCTCTGGTTTACCTAATAACGCAAAAAGAATAATTTTTAAGTCAAAGATAAAGTTCAACTAAATAACATTAATGACCTTGCAGAATTCACCTGGATCATAATAAATGTCTATAAATGTCTACTCAATGAAAACAGATCAATGTTATGAATGACATCTTTTCAACTTCAGCTAATAATTAGCATTAATTAGAATTAGTATTCATCAGAAATATGACCATGCCTGTGTCCTGTAATATTAAAAAGTAATTTTATTTTTCCCTAAATGCCAAGATACACTGAATTCATTATTCCATCATTTAATTACTTAGCATACAATGAAAAAGAACATTGTTAATAATAATGAAGTCCTAAAAATTCAAGCACAATACACTTTATTTACAGGCTTCTGAAGTAAGGTAAGGTCCTCCTTTAATGTTTCCTTTCTCTCTCAGACTACTACATGACACCAGAAGCAAACTGCTTAAAATACATGTTTTTTAACAAATCACCCAATTATGGAGTTGAAATTTGACTTTCTAGGAATTCTGAAATCCTAACTACAGATTTTATTTCACAGAAAACAAACAATAGGTAACCTCGCTGTCCAGCCAAACAAAGCTTATACCTCTATTTATGTTCATCTCTGCAAAGCTTCGTAGCATTTAAAATCCAACTCAAAATACCCTCCCCATAAAATATCCACTTTACTTCCCTCTCTAATTTATTCTAGGTTTGCACAGCTTCATAAATATAAATTAATTAGTACACTTTTTTATTTATACTCTCACATCAGGAATTCTCCAATATTTAGTGATTACACATAAGCCAGGCACTTGTATTATAGAAAATACAGCATGTTTTTGTTTTAAAAGATCATATATTCTATAACAAAAAGGGACATGATAAGAACTAATTATAATAAAACACTAAGTGTGTTAAATAACTAAAATGTCTTGCAGCAGAGCCTTTTTACTGAAGTCTGAAGTCAGAAATGGGGGTGGCATACAGTTCTTCTCTGACTGCCTTGGTAATGGTTTAATGCAGTCACTTAGTCACCTACAGAGAAAAAAACAAAACAACAATACTGCTCTCCTCAATCTAATTTCCGACAAAGGAAACCCAGCTTCTACTGAGCAGGTTAGATCAAGAGACAAACCCACCAGAGACCACTTTCCTGAGACTTTCATCACAGTAACTGCTTCCCCTGGCTGAATCTGGTTTGCATAACTGACTCTGCCACCTGGTTCCTGCAAGTGGGTACATTACAGTATAAAATGCTATATTTGCAACAAATGTACAATGGTATGTATAATGTATGCAAAATGAAGAAATATATGCATTAAGAAATATATGCTAAATGCTCAAGTATTAGTATATAGTTTCTATAGATCTATCCATAGATTCTGTATGTCTCAGTTTCCCTCAAAACAATCCCAGGCGAACTATGAATTATTTTACAATGACAATGTTTAGGTAATCACTGGATAAACCTGTATCCTAAAATGACTATATGTATAGATGCCAAAACTTCCAAAGAGCATAAAATGAATAGATAAAAGTTTTTTGCTCATTATAATTCCATAAAAAAGCCAACAATTTCCATTCCTTTTTACATGATTTAAAATTTTACTTTTTGGATTCTGAGGTTTTTAGCTGATGCTTTCCATTTGCAATCAGACAAAAGAGGTTTGTTGTTAGAGTTCAGACTCTGGAATATAATAAATTTTAATCCAAATGTGGACTCTTAATATTTACTAGCTGTGGAATGTGGAGAAATTAATTTATCTAAGTCAAGTGTAAAATAGGGTAAACAATATCAAAATTAGGATGACAATAAAAGTAGATATTCTGTGTTAGTTGCTTAAAAGAGCGTCTGGCATTAGTAAATCCTTGATATTTCAATACTTAAGTGTTTGCCATTCCAAGCAACGTTTAAAATCCTACACTGCAAAATACTAAGTAGATCAGAATTGGAGAAGGACGTTTCACTTTTTAACGGAGGTGAAGCAAATCTTTCAGGAGCACGAATGCAAGTAATACTGGAAAATAATGATTCATCCATTCTGCTGCTGCAAGTGCAACCAAAAAAAAAAAAAAGCAGCGGGTTTCATTTAGTGACTACGGAAGATGATTCAGTGATATTTCACTGGAGAAAAGGAAAATGCACAACTGAAGTTCCCTCCACGCCACCCTTGACAAGTTGTGTTTCCCTAGGGGGACAGTTGGGTTACACTCGCCTAACTTCCGCAGCAGACACTGACATTCTGGGAGAAACGCGGGGGACAGGAATTAGTGGTATGAGAACAACAAAAGGCTCTGGGACCCGTACAGTTAGTGGAAGATATAGCAGGAGAAGGATAAAGCAACCGCCCACCTCCAAAACAACAGTTTGCCCCACTCCACTTCCACCTGTATCTTCTTAAAAAACCCAAAGAAGTCTACATCACCTTGTAATAAACGTCTGTATTCCCCCAAATCTTCCAGGATCCCGGGTGGATACCCTCTGTGAGCTCGAGCCCCATCGGTGACGGGGGATCCCGGACGGTCAGGATCAGAAGCCAGGCAAGCCAAGCAAGCACCACAGCTCCTGAGCGTCACAGTCAGCGACTGTGGCCTCCCTGTCCAGGTGTGGCCGGGACCAGGAGCCCGCGGACGTGCACTTCCAGGCAGCGTCCACGCAGACCCTCCCCATGCAGATCCCCACCCGCCGCCCCACACAGACCTGTCACCAGCCGCCTCACACACTTCCACCGAGCAGCACAGCCACTAAACCGGAAGCTGCGTCCAAATGATACAGGTTCCGCCAGCTGCTCGCCGCGCAGACGCAATGGCAATCTGAGGGCAGCCCTAGATGGGCGGGACGTCACTGGATGGTGTGCGCAGGCGAAGCGGTCTGGAAGGGAAGGGGCGTGGCGAATTTCTTTACAAGGGTAGCACCTGAGCGGGTTTAGTTTGAAGCCACACGCAGCCTGGCTTCGCTTCTGGAGCAGGTGCTCTTTGCCGTCGGTCGACCCACGCATGAATGGATTTCTTCGTTGAGCAAAGCATTATGCGTTGATTTGTTACCAGAACCCTGACCTGAGCTCTTCCTAGCAAGTGTCAACCTTAGTTCTTGTTCTGTGTATGTGAAACTGTGGGCGCTGCACTTCTGCTTAGCAGCCTGGCTGTGAAAGCATCAAGGAGAGAAGAGGATCTCTTCCCTCCCAAAAGACTGCTGTTTTGTTTTGGTAGAAAGATGGACTTTTGCAAAATTATTTCAGGCTACTTGTTTTTTCTGATGTGTACAAGTGTGATCGACGATCTTGTTCCTTAGTACAGAAGTGACTCACTACATACATCATTTATCATATAGATAATAAACAGGTGCATGGGCTCTGGGCTCTTCTGCCCTGCGCTCAATGGTTCAACACCAAGTTGACAAAGCTTTACTGACTGACTGATCGCCCGTGAAACAGTAATTGTGCTAGATACTCAGGATTGACAGAGTCAAACAAATTCAGCCCTTTTGTTAAGGAGACATTGCTTCCCACTGAATTCTTGCAGTAATCTGTCCTTTACCACAGAGACTTGAGAAATTATTGATAATGGGTGGAAAGAACTCTTGTAATCATTTCCTTGTAATATAAAAGTTTTAACACGAAAGTCAAATTTTGCTGCCGTGGGCTGTGATAAAACATTTCAGAACTGTCAAGTGCCTTAGGGGCTATCTGCTGTGCAGAACTGAGATTTAGTTCACAGTGCTAATCGACATGGAACTCAATCCCAGGCTTGTCTAGCACAACTAATACCTCCCAATATTTGTCTGAAATTATCTTTGATGTTGTAAGGCCACAGGGTTCTGTTTAGTAAATAATAATTTCTCTAGCCTACTATTCAATTTATTTATCACTTTACTTTTGAGCAACGCTAGACGCTTCAGGACGTGTATTTGTGTACATTCGTGTCTTGTTTAACACCTACTAAGCTCCTGCATTGTGAGAAATTGGGCCTTCCATTACTGGTAGGAGAATCGTGAGTTAGACAAACTCCTTATTATTCAAAGCCCGATCGCTATCATGTTGTTTTAAATAAGAGAGAACCAAAGTTTCCTCAGCGTCTTCTAGAGTTGCTGTGATGATTACGTATATAAATGCAGTGTTTTAGTGACTATTTGTTAGGTAGTAACAACTGGAAGCTATGAGCGCTCTATCCGGCAGCAAGATATATGTGCTTAATGACAATATAAACTTATGAAATTACCTCTGTATATAAAATAGGGAACGGCCAAGGAGGGAAGGGGACCCACATCTGTAAACTGTGAAATTTGGTGCGAAAGTAGTGGAGAGTGAAACTAATGAAATGCTAGGTTCCAAGGTCTCAGGAGAGATTTTGATGCGTTCCTATGATCTTGTGCTTTTGCTAAATTTGAAAAAAAAAAAGAAAAAAAAACTTTCGCCTTCTTTTCCTTTAAAGAATCCTCAAATTGTACCTGATTCAGGCTTGCAAGTGCCCTTGACGGTCCACTCTGATACACGTGAAAAAGAAAAAGAGGGGAGCGCTTTAAATTCTGGAATTCACCTCACACCCTATCAGGGAGACACCATTTCTTCGGTAAAAAGTGCGTCCCAAAGGACAACCAAGGGGTCTCCCTGCTCACCCGCGGGGTCAGCGCTGATCCTCCGGCCCCGGAAGTCTAGGGTTTAATTGGCAGGTTAAGCCGGCTCCCGGAAGAGCTTGCGAAGCCCTGAGTCTTCAGCCTCCGGGTAGCGCCGGGCCCGCGGCTCTGAGGTCTCTTTTCCGTCGCGGCCACCGTCGCG